CATAAAATTAAAAAAGTCACAAAAACACAAAAAAGTAACAAAACCAAATGCCTATGCATGAGTGTCAACTCATATTTGGTGTCTGCCTCATCATCATAGTCAGGCGATGAGCTACAACAATAGTAGTTCTACTGACCATACTCTATCTAGCGCTTCTTGAACTATACACTTTGACGCAGCATTGAGTGCACTTCTTGCTTCGTCAAATAAAAAGATTTTATATCTTATACAGTATTGCTAGACCTAAAGATCCTTTTGCTTGTTGAAATAACAATAACACCGGATGTGTACAGTGCACGAAATGCAAGATAGATTTATGATGATAGAATATCTATTGTGTAGCTCATCGCCTGACTACGATAATGCATGCTTGGAGGACAAAATAATGTAAATAAAGAAGTGTCAATCGTAAAATACAGAGTCGATTGATGGCATACTGCAAAGAAATGAATTTGGAGTACAATCTTGTACGATGGAAAAAAGCTAAAAGAACCTAGAGGAGGTAAATCCTTCTCATGACAATCTTCTAGTTGTTTCCAACTCCACTATAGGTTTCTTTAATCCTGTTTAACAGATCTGATCACAAAAAATACTATTTTTCTTCTAATATCAAACGAACATCTGGAATAACCAAAAAATTCAGTTAGACAAATTGTTTTACATGATATTTTTCGTTTGTCCTTGTTATTTTATTTTCCTTTTGACCCAATTTCCTTGGGCTGAATGCACTGTTTGCATTATGTAATCAAGCTGAGTCGATTTTTTCTGAATCTAGCTTTTAAACAGGCAGATTGTTTAGCATTTCGTCGTTCCAGCACAAACAGATCCAGCTATTCATAGTACCATCATAACTTATTTCACTTGAGCTTCTACAACCAGCAAACCCTAAATGTGATTGACAGAAATCACTACACAACATTATTGAATGGAAGATATATGCTATTGGTGGAAGTAGTAATCCAACCACTTTTTAATATTTCTACGAATGCAATATATTTGTTTAACACATTTTAATATTATCATGCTAAAACATAAAATTAAAAAAAATGTTGATACCTTCGATTTATAGACGGATGAAGAAAGTTTGTTCCTCTTCTTAGAGGAAGGTTTTTCATCGAGATTTCTTTGCCTCTTCGAGCCACTTTTTTCAGTCATTGCAGAAATAATAGGAATCCAAATCAGATTTTTGGATTTCGGATCTAGGGTTTCGGCTATTTCGGATTTAGGGTAGAAATGATAATGAGATAGTGAAACCCAACAGATACGAAGAAGAAATCGATGTAAAATGGTCGAAAATGGAAATTTATAGTCGGATTTTGCTTGTAAGGAATCAATGGCAAATATGTCGGATTTTTTTTCCTCTGGACGATTTCTACGAATGAGGATGTGAACCTAAACGGATACGAAGAAGAAATCGATGGAAATAAGTCGGAAGTGGAGATTTACAGACGGGATTAGCTCGGATTTGCTCAAATTTGGGAAATTACTTTTTACGGTTTTGGGATTTTGCTCGTAAGGAAGGAGGGTAGAATAGAGTCATGTGGTTTGGGCTTGTAAGGTTGGGCTTTTTGGACATAATTTATAGTGGAAATTACATCCTTCCCTACTTTGGAGATCCATTTTCCAAAATCAGATTTCATAGTTTAAATTTCAATAATCAGAGCTTTTTTANAAAATAATAATGGTTTTATTATTCAGTAAAAATAAAATATTTTTAATATATATATATATATATATATATATATATATATATATATGAATGAAAATGGACACGAAAAGGAATACCTTAATTAATCTCCTGCCTCTTAAAAAATCTCCGACGGGATGGGGATGGAGTTGGCCCGTCTCAAAACCAACCCAACCGGACCCCACCATGTTTCCGTTGCTATGTACGATACTATGATTGGATGAGATACGAATGAAATGTAAACAAGAAGATCGAAAAGATTAGAAATGAATTGAAAAGAATGTTTTCAAGTAAGAAATATCTTAATAACTTTAAACAAAGATGTCATTTTCTTCGACGTTTATCTACTTGGTAAGTAGTTTCCAGGCAAATGAAATCAAAATAATATATCATAAAAAAATACTTATACTGCATTTAAGATAAGTTAACATTATATTTTAATAACAATATTATGGTACAATTATCTTCTTTAATAGGTGGTAGAATTATAGATATTTATTTAATTATATAACTACATGCATGATTAATAAATTGAATGAAATTAAAAACTTATCTATTAGGTTAATTATTAAGTATAAATTTGAGTCCCGCAAAATTTCAAAATTTATAGTCAAAATATTTAATATCATCAACCCCATTTTTTTTTCCTAAAATGTCACGGACCCTCTCTCCATCGATAGAAATGAGATTATAGCAGATACAACACATTAAAAATTAGCCAAATTTTCCCGATATAGAGGCTAAGGGCGGATCAGTCTTTGCTACAGCATGTCCCTCCAGCCCAATCCTAAGTAAAAAAAAAAAAAATTAGTAAAAAAAAAATTTTTGAGTAATTTTTTTTTTTTTTAGTCTGTCTAATTTTTTTCTTGATCCACCCCTAATAGAAGCAATCAAAAAGTCTGCATATTATTCATAAAGTCTCTTTCTGTCACTTTTATATATCATCAACCTTTTTCTTTTTTTCCTTTTTTTCCCCTAAGATGTCACTTTTATATAGAAAATATATACCATCAAGTCTCTTTCTATCTAAGTCGGCTGCAATCAGTGATCTGTGTATTATGGAGTATGGACCAGTTTCATTAAAAGCAGCTAACGATTCGGTTTTCATTTTTCAATATCAACTGTAACCAAGTTGCTTGACAATAGAGATCGAAGTGGGCATAGACGTAGAGATAGGTTTTACATGCCAAATAGTCAAATACTTTAGGATTTAAAAAAATTAGTAAATTTAGATAAAAGTTATGAAATGAAATGTATATTTAAAATTAATTTTTGATTTTGTTCTTAACTTTTTAACTTCTTAAAATATTTCAAACAAGTACTTAAAGGCCTGTTAGGAGTAGCTTATGCTTATGCTTCTACTTTTAAGTAGTTGAAGAAGAGAGGCAGAAGATAGTGCTTTTGAATTATTGTTTGAAATTTGATTTTTAAAAGTTTTTTTTTTTTTTTCTATGTAAAGGTACTGTTGAAATTTTAGAACTTTATTAAACTAGAAGAATTGTTTTCCTCGTTTTGTGAGAGATCTTTTAGAGGAAGTTATATTAAGTCAACTTTCGTTAAAAATTCTTCTTACTATAGGATATACTTCAAAATCAGGCCAAGTGCGGTCCTGATGCTTAAAAAAATTGATCAATACAATTGACATCTTTAACTTTTCCTCGATTCGCATTCAATACGGTAAAGTGGAGCATTATTTCCTCATGAGTAATGCTATGTAATCTCACTGGGGTTGTAATCCTA